TTTTTTCATGAAAAAAGTGTGCCTTTGCACAAAAAAGGTTGAAAAACACTGCAGTAGATAGGTAGGGAGAGAGAGAGAGTAGGCAGGTAGGTAGAGGGATAGAGAGAGAGAGAAATACAGTAGGTAGGTAGGGAGCAGGGGTGGGTTTCGACCGGTTCGCACCGGTCCCTGCGATCTGGTTGGTCGCCGAACCCGGAAGTAAGTAACTTCCGGGAACGGCGACGCCCTCCCCTGCGCCTGCGCGCGCCCACACACCCGCACACACTTCTTACCCGGTGTTTACGAATTCTGCGCTTCCACGCATGCGCAGAACACATACAGCGCCTGCGCGATCCTCCAGGAGCAGCTGGAGCATTGCGCAGACGCTAGTACGCATGTGCGCGCCGCGTGCGTACACGCACGCGCTGTGTGTGTGAGGACGCCGCACACGTGCGCGAGGACGCCGCCGGCCTCGTTCCAACCGAACCGGTTGGAACGGGGCGAGAAACCCACCCCTGGTAGGGACTCTAGAAAAAAGCCGACCTTTTCAGGTACCTTCATCCCAAGTCATGATACAATAAACAGGTTAAGGACGTTTTACGAAGGCAACCAATGTATACTGGATAAATTCAAAGCAAGAGCTTTCTGCTTCATAGTTCAGTTTCTTACCTGAACTAAGTTACATCAAGTTCACTGTATACCAGTAAACAACCACGAACCAAAAAGAGAGAGGCTATCAAGATAGAGGATAATGTATTCAAAAGAACGAGTGGAAATGCTTGGATTGTCCTTAGTGCCCTTAATAGGTTATGAGATGTATTATTTCCTTTCTTCAAATTCCTACCTTGATTAAATCAAATTAGCAATCTGCTGTCCAAGTTACAACTATAATTTGAAGAAAAAAAAGAGTGGTCAAGCAAAAGCCGCCATTCTGAAGCAGTATCAGTTAATATATTGGACTGTGACCGGGGAAACCTACAGTTAAATCTCAACTTGACCACTGGAGGTTTTTTTTGTAGCAGTGATTATAGCTCCACCCCAAATCCTTTACAGGAATACTGCTGTGATGATAAAATGATGAGAGGCCTCTAGATATGCCACCCTAAATTTCTAGAGCAGGGATGGCTAACCTTTTTGTTGTTGGTGCAAAAAATGCGAGCAGCATGTGTGATAGTGCATGTGCGTGCCGGCACCCATGATGCAAAGCGCAGCCCCACATGCACATGTACGCACAAACCCCCACATGCTCCCCACACACACATGCTGCATTGCCGGTGCGCTGTTCGCCACCAAGCTGAGCTTGGTATTTCCTCCAGGGGGGCGGGGGGGGGGCTGTTTTCGCCCTCTCCAGGCTCCAGGAAAGCCTCCGGAAACTGGGGACAGCGAAAACAGCTCCCCGCCAGCTCTCCGGAAAGCCCAAAAATCAGCTGGCTGGTGTGCGCATGCACGCTGGAGATGACATAGGGCAATGGCTCATGTGCCCGCAGAGATGGCTCCATGTGCCACCTGTGGCACACGTGCCATAGGTTTGCCATCACGGTTCTAGAGGAAATAGTAATGTATAAATGTAAAAATATACTTTCCCCACTGGAAGAATATGGTAGGCACTTCCAGACAAGC